CTCTGTTCTCGATGTTGAGTGTTATGTTGTGACATCTGCGTTGACATTTGTTTATCAGGCATGATCTTCTTCTTGTCTACAGTAGATTTCTTTGCTGCCATAAATCCTAGACCATACTTGTTTCCCACATTTTGTCCAGCCTGAAGGATTTCTTCTAATTTGTCAGTTCCATTTGTCAGCATCTTGACAGACTTGGTCATCTGATCAAGTTTTGAGTTTAGCATTTGAACTTTACCTTCGAGATGACTTATAGTATCAGTGTCTGCCTTCTTCTCAGCCTCCAACTTTACTATGAGTTTTTTTTTGTCTCTCACTTTGCTGACAGACTTCAGTACTTCTGATACATAGTTTCTTGTAGGAGTCAGCCAGTTCTTCAAATGTTACTTCCTCATCACTAGAGTCACTATCAGAGTTACAAATACCAACTAGTGCAGTAACTAGTTTGGCAGATTCTTCTTCAGAATTACTTTCTGAGTCATAATCAGACCAAGTAATAGACATTCCTTTCTTTTGTTTCTTAAGAAAGGTAGGACATTCAGCTCGAATGTGCCCATATCCTTCACATCCATGGCATTGGATTCCTTTGCTTTGATTTCCCTTTTCTTCAGACTTTGGTCTTCTGCTGGAGTCATAAGATCTGTTAATGTTAGAGGGAATGTTCTTGACATTTGACCTTGACTTTGGGTCCATTCTCTTGATGAGTTTGTTGAACTGCCTTCCAAGCATGGCTATAGCTTCTGAAATATTCTCTTCATCATCCTCCTTGTTTTCATCTTCAGTATTAGATACAAGTGTTATGCTCTTGTTTTTCTTGTCAACATTGTCACTGATCCCCATCTCAAAAGTCTGAAGTGACCCAATGAGTTCATCAACCTTCAAGTTGCAGATATCCTGAGCTTCCTCTATAGCAGTCACCTTCATTACAAATCTTTTAGGCAAAGATCTGAGAATCTTTCTCACCAGCTTTTCTTCTGACATCTTTTATCCCAATGCTCCTGAGGTGTTGGCAATTTCCAAGATGTTCATGTGAAACTCATGAATGGTCTCATCTTCCATCATCCTTAGGTTCTCAAATTTGGTAGTCAGCATCTGAAGTCTTGACATTTTTACTTTGGATGTACCCTCATGGGTAGTTTTGAGAGTGTCCCAAACATCCTTGGCCAATTCACATTGATGTACTAGTCTGAATATGTTTCTATCAATTCCATTGAACAAGGCATTTAATGCTTTGGAGTTACCCAGGGCTAACTCATCTTCTTCTTTGCTCCATTCTTCCTTAGGTTTCAGACTGGTTGTCCCATCTTTCCCAGTTATGGTGGGATGGTTCCATCCTTTGTCAGCAGCTCTCCAAGCCTTTTTGTCCAGTGATTTTAAGAAGGCAATCATACGAGGTTTCCAGTAGTCATAATTTGATCCATCCAGAATGGGTGGTCTATTCCCAAATCCCCCTTCTTTGTCCATAGCGCCAGAAAATAATATCCCTAGATCTCACCCAGTAAGACAGGCAGGGTGCCTGCTCTGATGCCAATTGAAATTCTGGCAGCAAATACTTAATGTCACAGTGAATGTTATGACACCGTATCTGACACACTTCAAGACAGTAAATTTAAAAGTAGTAAAGAACACAATCAATTGTTTACCCAGTTCAGTGTGTAACAACACCTACTCTGGGGGCTACCAAGCCAGGGAGGAAATTCACTATAAGAGATATTAATTCAGGAATAAACCAACCAGTTTATCTCCTTCACTTAAGACTTACCCAATACAACTTCAATCTAAGTTCAACTTAAACCTGAGTTCCTACTCACTCCCCCTCAATCACAACAGTGATACTAAACTATTGATTAATGAGATTATGAAGACACTCTTCAGTACACACACTTGATTTTGCTTCACAGCTTTAATCAAGTGACAAACACTTGTGCTTCAAAGCTTTGAGTGATAAACTACCCTAACTTGACTTTGCTTCAAAGCTTTTAATCAAGTGACACAAACACTCGTGCTTCAAAGCTTTGAGTGATAAACAACCCTTACAATCAAATCCTACTCTAAGTCACTTATCACAATGATAATTGCTTGGCTCACAGTAGTTACAACTATACAATCCCTTATTGGTCTTCTGTCAAAAGATGTCTTTCACCAATAATCTTCATGAGGAATATATAGGCAGGCTATTCTTCAGTTAGGGCTTCCACGAAAATAGCTAGGGTTAATTCGAGATAACCTCAAGACTTGGTCTTAGGTTTTCACCAACCAGATTAGGGTTAAGCAGGGTTAACCTAATGTCCACATGAGTATTTGATCTGGACTGTATACAACAACATACCAGATTCCTGAAAATTCTCAGGAATAACAAATCTGCTCAAATGATAAATCAGTACAGGATGTCTTAACATTGGTTATGACAACAAGAATCATGTTCACTGAGTTTGGTAGAATGCAATAAATATGATCATTGCTTAATGATCATGCTAAACACTCATATTGAGTAGCTCCTGTATGACATTCTTTTTCTGCAGAATGTACCTTTTATCCCAGAATATTATGATATCAGTCATGACATTCACAAAGCTGGTTTTACCAAAAAAATGCTAACAAACAAACACTTACATACTGATCTTGAGAAATGTTTTGAGCCATGAAATTAGGCCAACATGTTGTATTTGAATCCTTTAGATTATACTTTAAGCCATTAGATCAAGTATTAGGTCAAAAAGTCAATGATCAATCGTTCTTAGTCAAAACCCTAATTTGTGGTCTCAGTGTTTCAGAGGTGATTTTGTCTTATCAATTCTTGAGAATCCTTGAGCATTGGAGATCCTTTATGAGGAATATCTTGAAAAAGAGAGGGTAAATTTTTGGGTGCAACACGTTCGTACATGCATATTCATCATGTGCCACTCACGAGGACAGAATAACGCTCGGCAACGTAGCGACACCTTGACAGCGGGCACATTAAAAAGGACTTGGGGAAACTCCATGCAGCCTGTATTTCCTGACAGGCGCCAGACGAGATCCCCGACACATGTAATAAGGTTGTCCCCGACATGGGTGAACAACTTATCCTCGACAGAGGGTTAAGACCTCTTCTCCCGAGCGAATTCTCCCCGACCGCAAAGCTGAACTTAAGTCATCACCCTTTTACCTAAGGACAATAACTTGGGGGACTCCTGATCTGGACTGGGTCGACGCTTGCCCCACCATTAGAGAGGCCCCGTCCAACACCTTTGCACAAGGCCCAAAGGCAAGCGGCCCAAGTTAGGGACCGTTGGGCAACTCTCCACCTATCCATTGGGGAACATAGCTCACGTGTCCATATCATCATCATCATCATCCTGCCCTCAAGAAATAACGAATCCAACTCCTTTTTTCTCGGAGTAGTTGACCAGGAGGGAGACCACGTGCTGGACTCCATACACACGTAAGCCCTGACAGTCTTTAGTACTAGGACTCATCGTGGCCCAATGTTGGAGACCTTAGCCCAACGCTGAGGGCTATAAATACCCTATCACTTGAGAGAGTCAGGTATTGAATCACTTCTTACTCACTCTCATACTTACTTGCATTATTCCAAATCTCACTTTGGCATCAGAGTGTCTTGCAGGCATCCCCATCTTACTTCCAACCGCTGCTCGATGTAAGGCCTGTGGGCTTTGACAATCCATCTGGTCTGGTACGATCACAATTAATTTTATAAATGAGAATAAATTACAAATATTTTTATAAATGAGAAAAATTATATTATTGATACAATTATTTTTAAAAACAGGAATAAGTTACAAATATTTTTATATACAGAAAAAATGTTTATGATTGATACAATTATTTTTTAAGGAAAATGCTAACATGTGCCATAAGGGCACATGTTAAGAAACTATTTGTAGCAATATTCTTTTAGAATGCATGCATTCAACTTTTTGAAATTTTAAATATGACTTTATTACATTTAAATTTTTTTAAATTATAGTACCATTAACACGTGCCTTTAAGGGGGACACATGTTAGCATCATCCATTTTTTTAAAACGAAAATAAATTACAAATATGTTTATAAACGAGAAAAGTCTATTGTTGATACAATTATTTATATAAACGAGAATAAATTGCAAATATTTTTATAACCACACACGGGTTCTAAACGCTTATATTTATGAAATTACAAATATTTAAAATACTACTTGGATCAATTCATAAATATTGATACATATTGTTAGTTTATATTTGAGATTATGTGAATGTTAATAATTGGTAAAATAAATTTCAAAGCTAACAAATGAGATATCAGACCGTGTAATACGAATCTAGACGAAACCTTTGTGATATTGTTTATAATTAAAGTTAGAAAATCAATTGTATAATTTATTGTAACTACGAATCAATATTTAAAAGTTGATACATATTATTAACCTATATTTATAACTATGTGAATGTTCAATCAATTGAAAAATAATATTATATTTTATAAATGATAATTTGATAAACGAATAATATGAATTCAAACAGATTTCCTGCAATAATACGAGTTTCTTAGAAGTAAAAAAGAAAAAGATAAAATATCCTAGAAGTGTTTGTACAAAAATATAAACGAACCCACTTTTCTGAGAGCAATTTTAAAAATGTCGTGTCGTGCATGCTTACGTCAAGTAAAATTAAAAGGGTATTTCCGTCCATGACACAAATCGCACACACTATTTGTTTCCGCTCACAGCTCCATTCTCTGCTGCTCCATTTCACTTCCTAAAACCCAGAAATCAGATCTAGGGTTTTCATTTCCGTGAAAAAGAAGAAGAAGCCGCTAGTTCTTCGCGCTTTCAAAGGTTACCTTCTACTCTCTCTCTCTCTCTCTCTCTCTCTATATATATATATATATATATATATATATATATATATATATATATATATATATATATATATATATATATTCGATAAATTCTACACTCTCGTCAATTCTCACATGTTGTAACTGAAATTCCTAACCCTAACTCGCAGAAAACAAAGAGAATGGGTGAATTGAAAGAAACCGAGGTTTACGAGGAAGAGCTCATCGACTACGAAGAGGAGGATGAAAAAGCTCTTGATTCTGCTAAACCTACTACCGAAACCGTCAAGAAGTTAGTTTCGATATTATTTTACTTCAATTGACATTAACCGGGTCTGTTTAAAGAATTGTAGATGAATTATGAATATGATGATAGACCTGTATTTGATGCACTGAAAATTTAGTATTGAATTTAGTAAAGATTTTGCTTCAGTTTGAGTTATTGGGTGAAGATCCGAGGATGTATGTTCAGCTTTAGTAAATTTGATTCCGAAGAGTATGATTCAATTATTTCTTTATTTGTTTTGTTTTTGAATTAATTAGTATACTGGTTTTGGCTAGAGAACTGATATCTATTATTTATTTCATGCTTAAATATGGTTTAAGCATTGTACAATGTGATAATGTATGGTAAGTAGTAAAAACAAATCTTATTTCTGAATTATGACATGACACTGCGATTGAGAATGATTTAGTTAGTAAGCAATATTAATAGTGTGAACTAGTGGCCTTTGGCGGTACAAAATTTCCACCTTTGGTTGTACGAGCTTCATGTCTGTTATCTCTTTCATTTCTGTCATGTGTACCCAGTTCCCATTAGCTTCTTTTCTGTTTAACCCTGCTGATTTTCTTCAAGCCGCGCTCTCCAATTTTGAGCATGAATTTTTTTTTTTAATATGTATATGTATGTCTAAATTACATATTGTTAGCCGGTGTAATCTTCATTATCAAACAATATTAACGTTCAAAAGCCACTTTTTGAGTTTCACTTCCTCACTGTATTTATTTTCTTTTGTGGTGCAGGGGCTACGTTGGGATCCATAGTTCGGGATTTCGAGACTTCCTGTTGAAACCAGAGCTTCTTCGAGCCATTGTAGATTCAGGATTTGAGCATCCTTCAGAAGGCAAGTTGTATTATATGCTGTCATTACACCACTCAGTATAGGCAAAGAGTCAAATGAATTCTACGGAATTCTCACGTTTTGGGCTTTTATTAAATATTATTTTTCTTTGTATTGATGCCAATATTTTCTACTTTCTGTTACTATTCTCAATAAATTTTACACAATGTGGATGATTGAATATTGCTAATCAATGTGGTTAAAGGAACATCTGACGCAAGAACAGAAAAGAACTACATAACTTAAAGTCTATTACTTATGCCAAGGGAATTCCCTGTTTTAACTCTTACAATTGTTCATCACATAATTCACCAACTCTTTTCCCCTCTCACATGTGTATAGATTCACATACAATCTTTAGTTCCCTAGCACCCTATTCTTTAGTCTTTACAAGTCAAGTTCCTTGAGCAAGATTTTCAGTGATTTCTTAAGGCTGTCTCTTTCTTCTTTGGGGGTGACTTATTGACCATTGTATGATTTAGTCCTTTAATTACAATTCCTCTAAATTATTGTTATTCCAATGTATATGAATTTCACATTTTTACCTGTTAGTTCTCATGTATCTTTGTTTTTGTTTCATTATTATTATTCACCATCATCAAATCTTTTTTCTTTGAATTAATCAGGTAATCACTACTAGCATAATGAACACATCTCAAAATTTGGTTGGTAAACCTTTACATTAAAAGGATCTGGCAGATCATATATACTTACTGAGGATTTGTCCACTACAATTTTCTTTGCTTCTTCATTAGTGCAACATGAATGCATCCCTCAAGCAATTTTGGGAATGGATGTCATCTGCCAAGCAAAATCTGGCATGGGAAAGACTGCTGTTTTTGTTCTATCAACACTTCAGCAAATTGATCCTGTTCCTGGTCAGGTTGCAGCACTTGTTCTTTGCCACACAAGAGAATTAGCTTACCAGGTATGTCGTCATTAATTTGGATGCTATATATCTAGAGTGTTTCCAATATACACTATCACAAACATGTGTACACACATGGGCATACTTAGAAAATGATTCATTTGTTTTTTTGGATTTGTCTAGATTTGCCACGAAGTGGAGAGGTTCAGCACATATCTTTCAGATATCAAAGTTGCTGTTTTCTATGGTGGTGTTAACATCAAGGTTCACAAAGAATTGCTCAAGAACGAATGTCCCCACATTGTTGTTGGAACACCTGGGAGGATTCTTGCCCTGACTAGAGATAAAGACCTTGGTTTGAAGAATGTGAGGCATTTTATACTTGATGAGTGTGACAAGATGCTGGAATCACTCGGTCTATTTCTTCCTCCTTTTTTCCCTTTAATTTGAGTGTGTTTTGTTGAATTTTCAAATGCAATTTCTAATCTAGTTCTTTTTTTTTTTTGTTTCTTAATATATCTGCCGTTTGACCTTTGCAGACATGAGAAGAGACGTTCAAGAGATTTTCAAATTGACTCCCCATGATAAACAAGTGATGATGTTTTCAGCTACACTCAGCAAAGAGATTCGACCTGTTTGCAAGAAGTTTATGCAAGATGTAATATTCTATTTGTGATTTTTGGACTGTATATGGGAGGGCAGTTTCATTGTCCATCTTATTGTTCACACTGCTATTATTTTCATTTCAAATTATTGCACTTTTAGTTGTGAATGTCATCAATTATTGTTTTAAATCATTTTGTTGATTTTATGGTCAGATTTCTGTTTTGTTTTGACTCTTTATCCTATTTAGTATTAATTTGCAAGGATTCTGTTTTATAGATCAAAATAACCGATTTTTTAAATCAATGTTTATCTTCTCATTCATAATCTTTTTCCTCCTTTTTCCTCCAGCCCATGGAAATTTATGTAGATGATGAGGCCAAGTTGACTCTTCATGGTCTTGTTCAGGTGTGTTTGTGGACTTTGTTTATTCCTTGTTCTTGTTGATATCTTATCGTCTACTAATTTTTACTCATTTTTCAGCACTACATTAAATTACAAGAGCCAGAGAAGAATCGTAAGCTGAATGACCTTCTTGATGCCCTTGACTTCAACCAAGTTGTTATTTTTGTTAAAAGTGTTAGCAGAGCCGCAGAATTGAACAAGTTGCTTGTTGAGTGTAACTTCCCATCAATATGCATACATTCTGGAATGTCGCAGGAAGAAAGGTATTTATTAGGTCTTTTGAAATTGATGGTATATACCTTGTCTTGTGTATTCTTAATTCTTTAAGCTGATTTAGTATTTGCTAACATTGAGACATTCTAAGATGTTTTCCATGCTCATCAGTCAATTAAAGTATATTTCTGTTGCTAATAACGATTTTTCAGAATGTTTGTTAGACATCTTGTTATGTTCTTCAAGTCTTATTTTCTTTTTTTTCATTCTTGGGTATGTTTGTGGATGTCTGTTAAACGGGACAGAGTTGCTTACGTTACCATTTTTTGGCATTGGTAAATATGGGGTTAAAACCAAAATATTCACTATTCTCAGATCCTATGACGCCAGATAATCTCTTGGGTAGTTTTGTAAGCTTATATACCTATCATAGTATATGAAATACAATTGTGTTTTTTTAATTTTTTTTTATATTGGTGTCATGCACTTACTGCAATCCCTAAGAAAACTACTGTTATAGGACTCTAGATTGAAATCTTATTTGTACCAGAAATAGAATATAATCAATGTTGCACTTCCCAATTTCAATTAAGGCTTCATAGCATTCTTAGATTCTTTGAACTTTAAAAGTTAATGCTAGTTATAATTCCTCTTGTTAATTGCACTTACCATGTACTATAAATATTTGCTCTTGCTGAGTGTCTTACTCATTAAAGCATTAAAAAATTTCTGTTATAGTTATTATCAAGTTTGCAAGTTGGTACTTTCTCCGTAACGAATTATAAGCAAATTTGACTTTTTGAGTATATTTGACAATTAATGTATGTAGTCCATATATGGACTACATACATTAATTGTCAAATTATCCAAAAAGTCAAATTTGCTTATAATTCGTTACGGAGGGAGTATGAGAGAGCTAGGTCTTGCTCTCCCTTTTCCTCTTCTGTGCTGTATCACAATAACTTACAGTTTCCAGTCTTATCTGGCCACTGTCGTATGGTATCAGCCACCATCCAGATAGCCCCGGCCACGTCTATACAACTGTTGGCCAACGTTTGTATGTTTTCTGGTCAATCAATCCATATCCAATCTTTGTAGTATTCATCACCGTCAATCAGTTTTTCCGTGCCTTGAGGTTACCATCAGAACTTTTCTGGCTTGTATCCGCTACCAACAGCAACAAACCAAGCCTTATCCCTCTGAGTGGGGTGGGTGCTTTTATCCACTACCAATCAGTGAAAATCACAAAATGTCGCAAGTTAAGGTGCTCTAGGTTTGACACTATAGCGCTTCAGATAATATTGTTTGTAATGCTTCCCTTTTCTCAAACTTATCTCCTATAAAAATTCCTTATTTCATCACCCTTAAAGATGGTTCATAAGTTTAAACTGCCGGCTGTTGTCAAGTTTCTCCACACTGGTATGAGTTGTTTGAAATGTTACTGAATTCTTATCTAAATTTCTACCCAATTTGGTTGCTCAGTTCCCATTTTAAGGAGTTATAATGGTAGAAATATTATTCTTCCAAATTCAAGTCTTTTATGTATCCACAGGTATGATTCTTCAATCTAGTTGTCTACTCCATAACAGAACTGTAATGCAGAAAGAAAACATTGTTGTCTTCTTGATACAACCCTTTGTTACTTCAAGCTAATGAACATTTAAAATGTTTGGGAGATGCAAACTGCTGCTGGTTGGTTATTTAATCTATCGACCATAAGCTATATTTTTGTGCTAAACAACCGAACTCTGCATTCCGTTTTATTTCTTGGTGAACATTTAAACTTGATACCATTTTTCCTTGTTACCTCAAGCTAATGTGGCATGTGGCCTTTGAATTTTTGGAGAGATGCAATCCTTACTGCTGGTTATTTAATCTATCGAAAGCCAATTTTGTGCTAAATAACCAGATTCCGCATACCAATTTATTTCTTGGTTAATCTACTTACATACTTCCTCTATGTGTTTTTGGTTGGGGCTTATTTTTTTCACGGTCTTCTGTTATTTCTTAAATTAGCATAGATTTATTTCCTCTTATTTGTACAACTAGCTTAAGTTTTATTTATTAATAGGACAGATCTTTTTTTGTTAATTTTTATTTTATTTGGTGAATAATTAAGAGAATCCATGTTAGTTGTGACTCTGAAACGAAATTAAATTCTGTAAACACTCTTTTGAATTTGCAGTAATTGCAGTCTTAATATTTTTCCATAACTAGCTAACATGTCTGTGTTTCAGATTGAAGCGATACAAGGGCTTCAAAGAGGGGAAGCAAAGGATTCTTGTGGCAACAGATTTAGTAGGAAGGGGGATTGATATAGAACGTGTTAATATAGTCATCAACTATGACATGCCTGATTCGGCTGATACCTATCTTCACAGGGTAAGTACTTTGATCAAATAAATTTTAAGATTTATGTAACTGAACATTTTTTTGCATATAGATGACCTTTGTTCCTTCTTTCTTTATATATGCTTTATCAACATGTTAATTCTAGGTGGGAAGAGCTGGTAGATTTGGTACCAAGGGGCTTGCAATTACCTTTGTGTCTTCTGCTGGTGACTCTGAAGTTCTTAATCAAGTTAGTGAAGTCCACTTTCATGGAAATTTAAGATTTTAATGTTCACTTTAATTGAGAAAATGGAAAGGGCCCTTTTGACCAAAACAAAGCTTTGATTAATAAATATCTAAACTATGATTTCAGGTGCAATCTAGGTTTGAGGTTGATATAAAGGAGCTTCCTGAACAAATTGACACCTCCACATACAGTAAGATTATTTTTCTCTTTGCTTAGTACTTAATGACCTAAATTGTTCTAGTGGATGCACAAAGTTTATCAAAACTGGAAGTATGATGTTTGGCATATAATCAAGTTTATTAGAACTGCAAGTATGGTGTTGGCATACAATAATTGATCTGAACTGCAAGTATGATGTTAGCATATAATGATTAACACTAAGTGTGTTGCATTATAATGGGATTTATCTTGCTCATAAGTCTAACATTTTTTTGTTTACTGCAGTGCCTAATTGATGAAGTTTTGGGATGATTTGGAGGCACATAAATGCAAATGATCTATTGCCTACTAGGGATGCACATCAATTTGAACATTTTGACAATGAATTTAATAAAGATATTCTTTCAATTGTAAGGAAGTAAAAGGGAATTTGATTGGCTTCCGAGTTTTGGGATTAGATTGTATCCATTGTTCCATATGTTGTATGCTCGCCTGCATATGTTTTTATTTAGACACAATTACAATGTAGTTCATTTGTATTTTTATTGACATTTTCAATAGTAGCACACGGTTGTTCAAGCTGCCTAAAAGTTTAAATTAAAACGACTTCTATCCTCAATAAGTGTAGTTAGTTCTATTTCTATTTTAGTAGTTAGTGTGATTTTTGATATACTTATTCAATCTAATTGGATGGGCAGTGACAACTGGTTGCTGCTCCACATATGAGGATTCTGTACTATAATGGTGAATCAATCGATTCCAATATCATTTATGATTAGCTTCACAGTCTCGTTTTGGTGTCGTTTAGGAGTCCGTCTATGATATGTTGCTACTAGTAGTGGACTTAAGGATATGCTTTAGGCCTGCATCCATGATATGGTCTTTGTTCTGCTTTAAGACGAGGCTAGTGACTAAAGTATATCCTATAGGGCTGTATCCATGATGGTCTTTGGTCGGATAGAGACTTAAGGATATGCTTTAGAGGTGCATCTATGCAATTGTCTCCTCTGATGCTGTTGACTTAGTGATGACTTGATCTGCTAAAAGATTGATTGGCCAGTTCAAAATAATTTGCGCTTATGCACTTAGTTGATAAACTCAAGACTATGGCTTGAAATTGTAAATGTGAGTGACCGATAAAGGTAATAGGTGAAGTTAAGGCAACACACAAGTGAGAGATACCATATATTTCTCTAAAATATTAAAGTAATAGGTGTGAGTTTTTTCACTTATAAAATGTTCAATCTTTTATTTTTTAAGCAATGTTTGACTTTTTTCTCACACTTGATTCTTAACACTTACTTGTCTTTTTTTTTTTTTGATGATGTTACACATTCTCTAATCTTGCTCTTAAGTGACTTTGAAACATTTTCAAGTAAGAATATTGAGTCAAGATTTTGACTTTGTCCGATTCAAGGTGACCTTTTGGTCTGCCTTTGTCTAACACATGGATCTCCTTGAATGATAAAATTTTTTATAGACATTGCTGGCCTGTGATGATCTAGGCAGATTTCTAATAGTTAGATGAAACTTTTTAATATTAGATCAATCAGATTGTTGAATAAATGTATCTTTTTTATTTATGATGGATTAACTATTATTGGATGAAACATTTTCCATTTTCAGATTAATTGTAACCTTTGAATGAAGTGACTCTATATTTTCCATCCGACACACTTGCTTGCTTATGAAAAGGGAGTTAATGAAGAATTTATTTGATCTTATTCAACAAATCGCTATGTTTCACACTCTTTCTAAATTTTTTAATGTTGTAGAAACACTTTCTAAGGTTTTCTTTTACGATGATGTTTCTTCTTTCTCCAATCACTCTGTTGGCGTTAACTCTTGCTTTTACTATCTTTCTTTTTATTATAATGAGGCGTGGATGTAAAACACATACCATTAACCATGGCTTGATGAAACATTTTTCATTTCCAATCAATTGTAACTTTTGGAAGAAGTGACTCTACATTTTTCACCAGACACAGTTGATTGCTTATGAAAAAGGAGACAACGAGGGATTCATTTTACTTTCTTCAACTGATTTTTATATCTCATACACTACATAAAATCTCCAATATTGTAGGAACACTTTCTAAGATTTTCTTTCACGATGACTTTTCTTCTTCCTCCAATCACCTGTTGATGTTAACATATTCATCCTCTTATTCTTTAATATGTTTTCTTAATCTACTTCTTGTTTTGATCATCTTTCATCTTTGTTCATAATTGTTCACTTGTTTTTATTTGAGTTTTTATAAGTACAATATTTATTTTAACATTTATCTCTTCTGTTTCACGTATGAGTTCATCTCTACTCTTTCACATGTGATTGATATCCATTTTATGATGTTTGTTTTATGATTATCTTTATTTTTTTCATCTTGACGATGATGGATGAAATAGAATAACTAGTCGCAAGAAAAAAAAAGTCTGATTTTATGACTCTTTTAAAATTTATCTGTTAATTAGATAAATTTCTTAATGATAATTGTGGAGAATAAATAAAGTTTGTTTTTAAACTTCCTTCACCTATATGTGGAAGACTTGAAGTTTGTTTCTACACCTACACCATATCTTATACTGTTCACGAATATCACGAAAATAACATTTATAATTTTTGCTTTTCTCCATTAAATATATGATATAAATTTATAATAAAGTTGATTAATGGTTGTAAAGTGATGATTATTTTTGTGTATAAGTTGGTTAATAAATGGCCAAACATGAGAAAATTTATACCATTCTATTAAAAAGTTGGTTTAGGATGTGCAATACATGATTAATATTGTGTATAGTTGGTTAACAAAGTAAAAGTTAATAACATTCTTTATTATAAAGTTGGTTAATGGTATGATACAAGTTGATTAATATAATTAAGAAATGATTAATGAACAAACATGAGTAAATATATGAAATCGATTAACAATAAATAAATTTGGTTAACTTTGTGAAAAAGTTTGTTCAATACACTTCAGAACATGATTAACGAACAATCATAAATACGTGATGAGAGAATATTGTGAAAAACGTTTCTTTGACGACAAGAAACCCACAAGGAAAGAAAAGAAGAAAACAATAAGATTGATTATAAACAACTATTATTTACTTTCTCTTTGAAACAAGATTACAAATGTTACAAAATACAAATAATATCTCTCACCCTAATTGGGATTTGTAGTGTTGCAATGATGAGAGACTAGTATGCCATTTATAAGAAAATCAACAAATTAAATTAATGAGCTTTTACACACAGACCCATTACAAGCTAACTTAAGGAACAAGCTAACCAAAACAATCGAAAATACCAAATAGGCCTAATTCGACATGCTAATAATTCCAACATTTTAACTAATGCATACTTAAACATACTTCAACTACAACATTGCAGGTCTTCGACCCCAGCATGCGAACCAACTTCGAACTCATGCTTAGATTTTGTCTAACTGTCGAATCATGAAACTACCCTTTGACTATACTAGAGTTTCATCCAATATCTGACATAGAAGATATGAGAAAATAGCATGGAATGAAGAAGAATGCATAGTTATAGTAAAAATGGAAGCTGAATATGTGCTGGCTGTTAAGAGAGAAAAATTGATGTGACTCACATGTAAAGAAAGAAAATGAAAAATGTGTTCCCACATGTAAAGAAAGAAAAATAAAAATGTGATATCAATAATTAAGTAAATAATTTAGCATCAAAGAATAGAACATATACGGTGTAGTGTAAAAAATTAGTATCAAAATAGGATATTTGGAGTATGTTTATTCCCTTTGTGTCGGAAAAATTGATCAGCATGGTGATACACCTCATATGACCTGGCTCTAGGCTCCATAGCCTATATGCTTTGACTCCTTCAAGATATCTCATGAACATTCATCTCAAATCTTTAGAGACCTTGTCTTTCCTAATGTGAGCATAGGCTACGCAGCCAAATACTCTAAGTTTATCGAGATCTGGTGGATGTCCCGACCAAATTTTTCCAGGTGTCTTCATATCTAATGCAGTAGAAGAACATATGTTTATCAGATATGTTACTGTCAAAATAGCCACCAAAAACACCTTCTTTAACCTAGTACTCGTGAACATGCATCTAACTCTTTCAAAAATGGTTCGATTAAACCTCTAAGTAGACCATTTTGTTGGGGAGTACCTCAAGTAGTTCTATGCCTTGCAATATCATGAGCTGCACAAAAACTATTGAACTCCTCATTGCAAAATTTAAGGCCATTTTCAGTTCTCAACCTCTTGACCTTTCTGCTAGTCTGATTTTCGACAAGAGTCTTCCTACTTTTGAAATTCTTAAAAGGTTCATCCTTAGTCTTCTAGATGAATACCCATAACTTTCTGGAATAATCATCAACTATGGATAAAAAAATACCATGCTCTTGAATGTGATGGACACCTTGCAGGCTCCAAAGATCAGCATGAATGTAATCAAGGGATCCATGTGTTCTTTGTTTTCCTTTATTGAACTTCACTCTGAAAATTTTCCAAGTACACAGGATTCACAAAACTCCAGCTTTTCGACTTTGTTTCCACCAAGCAGATTTTGTTTACCAAATTTGACCAGACCCCTTTCACTGACATGGCCCAATCACATGTGCCAAATTTATGTCTTCGAAAAAGATTTCGTAGATGCAACATCTGCAAAACCACTTACAACTTTAGCCTCAAGGGTATAAAAGCCTTGTTTCTTCACGCCTCTCAATACTTCTTTCGTCCCCTTCATGAATCTTATGATGCTTTTATCTCTTTGGAAAACATATCCTTTTCTTGTCGAATTCACCAAGAGAAAACAAATTTCTCTTCAAATCAGGTACATAACTGACTTTAGTTAACAACCTTATTGACTCATCATGAAGCTTGAATATTACAAATCCAACACCTACAATCTTGCAAGCTTTGTTACACCAACTTTATCACATAGTTCCTCGAACAAGTTTTTGTTTGGAGTCATGTCCTAAGTGTAACATGAATCCATAATCCACTCTTTACTTGAGTCACCGCTTGAAACCACAAGAACATCAGATGAGTCGAAATCATCATGAATAATGGTTGTGTTGCCATTATCCTTACATCCATGATCTTTCGGGCGTTCAGGACACAATTTTCTTGTATGACCCTCCTTCTTATAGTGATAACATCGAATACCAGATGCATCACCACTATAAGACTTCAGCTGACTTTTACCCTTCTTCTTGTCAAACTTTCCATCTCTATTTATGAATTTCGCCTTAACCGAAAAACCTTCACCAGTCGAAGATAGCTTGTGTTCCTATCGTTCTTTCA